TACTGCAGCAAGAAGTACTGCAAGAATGGGTGATAGCACAGGGTTTATACCGTACACATATCAATGCGGCAAGAGGAAAGGCGCATTACCTGTAACCAGTGTTACATGAAAGTTTGATGGTGGTTTATACACAAGTCCCGCCCTTCCATACAACAAATGTTGGCACTGAGATATGTATAAACTTTCAACCATTAGATGTATTTTTGATTTACAGTACAATATCAATTTGCATGGTGTACAAATAGTTTTTATGTGTTCCACAGGTATGATTTCAATGATTTAACTAATACTAAGTACTTCTACATAGTTTATGAGCAAACTGTAGCAGCAGTGGAGAAAGGAGTCACTGCTGCTGCTCCATTTCGACTTTTTATATCTGCGCACCGTAGCTTCGCTCTTCCGTTCTACAAAGGTTCTGCCCAGCAGCGAAACGAATGTAGCCTTGCTCGCCCCATCTGCAATTTACGAAATTATCAGTGAGTGTAACGCAAACGGCGAAGAGCGAAAATCCATTGTAAAATCTAGGTGCTCAGTTTTAAAAAAATTTCGTTTTTTAAAACGTGTTCGAAGATTACCTTTAAAGCATGGCAAATGAAGGTTTAAAAGCTGTTTCCTTGCTCATTAAAACTCACACTTCTTGTTTGAATGGCAATTCCTTCGGGATTTTCCCGAAGGTGACATAAAATTCTCCTCGAATTCCTTCCCCCGTAGATAGCAGCTAGTAGCAATCTCAGAATATATTAAGTTCCTAGCGGCGAAAATGTCCAGGATGTCTTTAATATGACAAAGAAGCAGCAACCTACTGCTCACTGGTTTTTAAAACGTGCATTGTGTAGTGGAAAACTGAATTAATTGCCAAAATTGCCCGGATCAGTTGGACAACCAATGTGGATATCCGATGTTAGTGATTTCAACTACATGTTCCCAAACGCCTAGATTTTCGAATTAATAGCTAAAAAAGAGAGGATGCTGAAATTTTGAGAGGATGTTCCATGCCCAATCACGACTTTGAATAAATAAATTCAGCCCTCACGCATGCTAGTTCTCATGTGCAGACACCTGGATGCGTATAATTGGGACTTAGGTGTGCATGAGGACTGCGCAGCTTAACTTCTAAATGCATCGAGGCGCCATGATCTAATCCTATGATTTAAACACTGTTATAAAACTTACGAAGTCCCCCAGCTGTTTTTGATGATGTAGTAAGGACTGTTGCCTTCATAATCAATGCCAGCAACGAGCCAAGCATGTCCTCCAATATTGGAGGCGCATTCCGCCTGAGTTGGCCTATACACTTGCCCACTTTTGAAATACTGCATTGACCTTGGGATCATAACCGCTGTAAAAAAAGTTCTTGGACCTATCCAATTACATTACGTTTCCTTGAATTCTATCAATACGAGTTTCTTTTACTTTTCCCTAGCATTAGAAATACATTATTGATGCCGCACTGCAGCCGTAGGGAGCTTAAAAGTTAACACTATACACTTAACTTACGAGTGACCATCACCAGCTACTGACCACTGGACAATGCAACATTCATAGGAACTTCGGCATACACACACTTCGCAAATGGAATACATATAATATGAACAGTAGCGCAACAGAAATAGTAACGGATATTACGGTTATGTTTTTCGCATGTCACACAGTTGATACATCAGTACATGTGATGCATTTGTACAATGTCTGTACTGAAGGCAGTTAATCTCGAAAAATGTTTTATTCTTAGATTTCTATGTTGGTCAAAGCAATTGGAAAAGATTTGCCAGCTGCACAGCTTCAGTAGCGCTATTTCCACTATTTCTACTACTTCAGTAGCACCCCATGAATTAGAATGATCAAGTCCTTGAAAATTTGTTATGCAATCTAATGATTATGAATCAGTAAGAGAAAAGTTGAAAATCTTCCTATAACAACAGGGTTCATGAGCAATTTTTATGCGTTTTTGCCTATATGCAAATTGCAAAAACGCATAAGGGACGACCCTGTCTGTGTGTGTGTGTATGTATT